GGGTTGCGAGAAATCACTGAGGTCAGGAGTTTGTAGAATGGTGACTGGTGACTGAGGTCTCATCGGTCATGTTTCCCTAGTTCAAATGAATTTAACATGCCTCACATTCTTTAGGTTGGGCTGACCAGGCTTTCTATCTCAATTATAACTGTTTCCACAATTCTAAGGGCCAGGGTTTGTGAAGCTGATCAAAAAAGTCTAGGAGGGGTCTTCATATTCAACATAGGCATTTTCACCATGGTTTTAACAAAATATATTTACTACTAACTATGTCTGGTGTTTCCTCTCCAGAGGAAAATGTTTTAACCTGTAAAGACGGTGTAACTGTGACAGGTAGCCAGACAGGAATGAGAGTGCAGCCCTGAGATACTAGTAGATGGGACATCGGCCACATCAGTCACAGCGTCTCAGGAATTCCAACCAGACTCCCTGTGAGAAGCCCTTCCTCTTGCCTGCCTCCGAGAGTCAAAAGAGAAAGTTAACTCACCAGGATACTAGGGTCAACATCCTAATTTGTACTGGGACAATAAACTAAAAAGGGCAGTTATTCCAAGTATGGAGGTTCATATCTTCAAAGTCAACAGCGGCCCTGTGTGATTAGGTAACAGAGGAGCACAAGAGCAGATGGAAGCCTGGGAAATCTGAACAAAGGAAGTGACTGTTACAGACCTCCCCTACTCAACATTCATTACCAAAATTCACAGTAAAAGTAACATCCAATCCATTCCAAAGTGCGGCAGTTGTTACCTTAGCAACCTGACCACCCCAAAAGTCTCTGGGTGTACTTTCCCTTTAACCCACCGCCAGCCTGGCTGCTGGGGAACTATTCTCTTCATTCAGTAAACTCTGCTTTGCTATCCCTTTGGGACCACATTCTAATTCTTCATGAGCAATGATACAGAGAACTGGGATCACTGTTGTTCCCACGTTGGGTATTGGGCCCATGCACCCCAAAATTCCATGTCATGATGTGGGCTTTTGGAATTCTCTCACACATTTTGTGATTGTTTATTTAGGTGATTCACTTTGCAAACGTCACATCTATAAATATTTCGTTACATGGGACAATAGTCAGTGTTCTGCAGAGATACAGGAGCAATAGGGTACATGTGTGTACATGTGTGTATATACTTGAAGAAAGAGAGAAAATGAATTATTCTATAGTGATGGCTCACTTAAATGTTTAGACTTACTAAATCTAAAAAAAATCAGCAAGGTTAGATCAGCAGGTTGGAAAGGTAGGATAGTTCTGCATTTCGAATTCAAAGCAGACTAATGGCTAAATAGATTTCATTGTTGCTCAGGGGGAACAGTCCTTATTCTATGAAGGCTTTTAACTAACTGGATGAGACCCGCCCATATTATGGAGTGTAATCTGTTTTGTTTAAAAGCCCACTGGTCTTAATGTTAGTCCCTTTCAAAAATAAATAGCTTCATAGAAACATTTGGAATAATATTTTTTCAAATATCTGGGTACCATTGTTCAATTAAGTTGACACATAAAATTAATTTTTACACATGTCTATGTATTTTGGCTTATTCATGGATCCTTTGTCTACATCCATGTTTTCTGAGATCATAAACTTAATCATGCTAACATCCCTTTGTCTAGCTCACAGGATTAACTAGATATGATCTTACTATTTCCAAGGTGTTACAAACAGCCTTTATTTGGTATTTGCCCTAAGGCCTTGTTTTATTGGAAGCCTCCTGGAGTTAGTCTTTTTTCCTGAAGCTCTATTGTAATGGCAAACCATTGATCTGGCAAAAAACAATGTATATTTTATAACCCTGCAAACTGAACTTTCCTTTTCTAGTTTTACTCTGGTTTGGTTTTTTTTGTTTGTTTTTTGTTTTTGTTTTTGTTTTTGTTTTGTTTTGTTTTTGCTAATACCTTAACTAGCAACCATCAGTTCATACTTTGAACTTTGGGGGGGAAAATTCCCCTTTATTTGTGATAGAGCATGATGTGTGCACACACGTGAGCAAGTGAGAGAGGAAGACATTGGATCGTGGCCACTCATGCACATGCCCCGCGTGGATCAGACTACCTGGGCTGGGGATTTAAACCAGACATTATGTGGGATCTACTTCTCTTGAATAGCACATCTACTTTGAACCAGCCCAAAGTTGAACCTGTTAACTTGAAACATCTTCATGACCCTCTAAAATTCATAGGTATATTTTCAGGTTTTCATTTTATCACAGAAGATAATTTTATAGAATGAGTCACCATTATATGTAATATAAGTCGTCATTTGACTGACTCTCATAACAATTTCTTTAAAACATTTCCAGGCTCCTAGAACTATTTTCTCACTGACCATCCAGCTCCAAAGTGCCTTATAGTCTCACTGCACTTTTGAGTGCTAATTTCTGTGGTATTAGCAATTCTAGAGCATATTATGCTGTTTTCTATTTCTGCCGTACAAATTATTGAAAATTTAGGAACTTAATAAGTTTCTCATCTTGGAGTTCTAAAAGTAAGTGTTTACAGTGGTTATCACTGGGCTAAAATCAAGGTTTGTAAGAACTAAATTCCCTCTGGTGGCTCTTGGAAAGAATCTGTTTCCTTTCCCTTTTCAACTCCTAGAGATTATCCACATTCCTTGGCTCATGGGTGCTTTCTTATAATTTCAAATCCAGCAACATTAGGCAGGCTGGTTCCTTTTAAAGCTACGTATTTTCGTAAGTTTTTAAAACACCTTTATGATTATGTTGGGCCCACTTAGATAACTCAGGATAATCTCTCTATTTTAAGGTTAACTAACTAGTAAACTTAATTACATCAGTAAATTTTAGTTCTCAGTTGTCGTTTAATGGAACATGTACTCAGATTCAGGGACGTGGATGTGTACACCTTTGGTGGGCCATTATACTGTCTATCATACCATATAATAAGCAACTGTAAAATTCCAGTGGTTTAAAACAACACGTTTATTTCTAGCTCTGCTAACAGGCTTGTGAGTGGGGAGAGTAGCTAAAGTAAGCTGAGTTTGTTGGTCTTAGGTCCCAGCTTCAGGTCAAGTTGAGACTTACAAGACTTACAAGACTCTTACAAGACTTCCTTGGGCACACAGTTGTCTGAGATATCTGAGGCAGAAGCACAAGACAGCAAGCCCACATCACATTTTCTAAACCTTTCCTTGCATCATATCCACTAATACCCCACCAGTTAGTAAAAGTCTGACAACCAAGCCCAACATCTCTTCAGTAGACAAAAGACCGGCCAGGTGGCATGGCAGTTAAGGTGGCTGGATGCCACATGGCCAATTGCATGATTCAAGTCCTGAACTTGGCAGCTTGAAAAACACATGAGGCACATGTGCCTTCCTGCCCAAAATCCTGACAGGAGAGTGGACAAGGAGTTGTATGGTCATCTTCCCTGGGAAGTGCTTTCTTACTTTCCCTTTCTCTCTCTCCATTGAGTGCATGTACCCTAAGAAAAAAAGAAAAATACACTCTCTCATGAGTATGTGGGGAAGAGACATGAACTAGTTGATGAAAAAAATAATTTAAACTATCTACCTTACAAAGCAAGGAATTGCAGAAAATGGAGTTAAATGTGTAGAAACTCCCCATTTTTTCCATGCCACGTGTATGAATACTATTTAAATCCATTGCATCCATAACATGGTTTAGCCCAAATTTTAATACATCTCTTTATACCCTCAAGTACAAAGTTTTTGAGTGAATAACAAAGGTAAAACACTTTTTAAAAAATAAGTTATTTAACATCCTGCTGATTAGCACACACATAAAATTATTTTAACTCTTCTTGAGAAGTATAAGATCCGTAAATATGTTCATACCAAAAGTACAGTTAAGTAGTCAGGCTTCTGAGAAACTGCTTTATTTCTAGAAGGATTATAGAATTGTGTTTGCTTTTGGGACTAATATCCTCCTAAATAAATGCTGATATAAAAGTACAATGCTTGTGTCTCAGTAGTACTTCAAAGTTAAGACAAAATGATCCATGCTAAATGCTTATTTTTGTAGTCCATTTCACCGAAAACCATTTACTCATATTACAGTGATCTACTTAAAACCATTTCTGAAGTCCTTAATTATTCTAACAGTGTCATTTCTGCATACAAAACAAAAAGTGACCATTAGAGAAAATAAGACTGTCTAAAAGAAATAAATTTCTAAGCCAAAGGTAATAATTAGGTTTTTTTTTTCTAAAAGATTGTACCCTAATTGGACTTCTGACTTGTGTTACTTATTTCTATAAAATATTGAAATTTAATAGTTTATAATTTTCACAGTATTCATGTGAGCTGTTTGCTTTATCTTATTGCTCAATGATACAGAAAAATCCAGGATATATAATGATTTCTGCTATCTTCACAGAATCTAAACAAGCATTTGATAACAGAGTCAGATTTCTTTTGAAAAAAAAAAAACACTTTGATGAAAAATTTTATTGGCCATATCCAATCTGCAATTTAGGCAATGACTTGAAACTTTTAAATCTGATTGATTTTTATTTTATTGCTATTAAGCAAGCACAAACCTGTAATTATACTTTTTTTGCATTATTTTGAAACCAATCTCAAACTTACAAAAAAGTTGAAAATATAGTACAAAGAACTTTTTCATTTTGCAAAACATCTTAGTATAAGCATACTGTTCTTGCCTAAACACACTTATTACCCAGCTTGAGTTTTGACTCCCCACAACAAGCTTCTCTTTCACGACAAAACCAAACTTGGTCTGTCCATGTAATTTGCTTTGGGAAAGAATAACAAGAAAAGGAAAACAAAGGAAGAGCTGTAATTATATTTTTTTATTTCTTTTGTAATCACGTCAGTTAAGAACCGTATGATGTTGTCATCATACTGAGGAATGTCAGTAAAACTTTCTCCATAAAATGACAAATCGAAATGCACTCAGGCATCACATAACCCTGGTTTAGTCCAAGAGAGATCACATATGCCACAGTGGTTCCATAACATCATAATGGAATTGCAAAATTCTTATTGCCTGCTGATGTCATCACCACCCTAATGCGCAAGGCATTACTGATGCGTTTGCTGTTATGCAGCTGTAATCTACCGCACGGCACACAACCTACTTGAGAAACTGCTCCGGTGCAACCTCCCGCCTACACCTCTGGTCAGTCACTGCTGTGCCCTGCTCCCTCAGCAGCAGTCACAGGATCACTCCATGATGTTTGCACAAGGACAAAATGGGCTAAAGTTGCACTTCTCAGAATACATCTCCTTCAGTAAGTAACACATGACTGTACCTTTGCTGTGCTTTATGTCAATTCTCAACTCCCAATAAATCATATAACAGAATGAGTTTTCACACCCAAAGTTTGGCTACTGTACATTTTCTTATCATTAACATATTTAGTGAAATAACTATTTCCGTAGTTGGCAGCAATCTAACTGGATAGCTTGTGCAACAGTTGAAGATGCTTTGAAAGTGCACTTCAGTTAGCCTGTGTCCAAACATCTGAAAGTCAGTTCACATTTTGTTACAGTTCTCAGTGATACTTAGTTGTGTTCGTGTTTAGTACTTTTTTTCCTTTATTTTTAGTTTTTAATTTTACAGGCTAATTTATTTGAAATAACAGATATTAAAATATGTCAGACCTGGGCCAGCAGGTGGTGTGGTAGATCCCACATGGCTGACTCAGTGGTCCAAGTTCCAGACTGGAGGATTGCTCCCAAATCCTGAAGGACAATGAAGAAGAAGGGATTGCAGGTGGCCATCCCTTTAGGGGGTGATTTCTCACTCCCTCTCTCTGTCTCCATCTCTTTATAGTTAGCACACAGGCCTTGTTGCCAAAATCTATCTATCATCTATCTAGATATAAATATATATACATTATATATATAATATATATATATATATTCATTTTATTTTTATATAGATTGTATATATAAAGATAAAAGATATTGAGCCTTGGGCCAGCTGGTGGCACAGTACGACACAGTGCTCTGCAAAGCTGGGCCTACATGAGAAGGTCCTTGACTGATGTTCTAGGGCCTTCGTGTGTATGCCGGGCACACATGGGCATACATGATCCGAGCTGCTGAGGCTAGGGGTGTATTGTGTCATGAAAGCCCTATTGGAGATAGCTGGCTCACTTGCTCACTCTCGCTCTCTTTCTTCCTCAGAAAAATGAATAAATAAATTTTTAAAAATTAGTAGGTCACAAGTCAAAAAGTGAATATATGAGAAAAAAATAACCTATTCCAAGATAAACATATGTTTGTTTTCATTTCTGGAAAAATGGTCTGTTTCTGTAACATCAGAGACAAGGAATAAGTATGCCATTAGGACTAAATGCATTTTCTGTAAGGAAACCACAAAGTCCTTTTGTGAATAATGTGTTTTGAAAAAAACATCTTAAAACCTATCCAGTGGGGAAATCATTTTCAAAGTCAAAGGACAGTGGAAGGCAATGGGCACTGGAAAGTTGTTTTTTTGTTTGTTTGTTTGTTTGTTTGTTTGTTTAATCTCTATTCAGGATACCTTTGTGTTCTCTCATTCTGGAGTGAAACAAGTTATATACCTGGACCATGCATCAGAGGAATAAGAGATCAGGAATCCTGAGATGGAGCATAAGGTCATGGAAACTGCCACATTGGTATAAAAATATTTGGTTTCCTTTTCATCTGGTTCCAGACATTTTGCAGAGACTTTTTTTCCGCTGTGGTGTAAGTGCTACAGTTTAGAAGTATTTTCTCTCATTTTCTATTGATTCTCTTCCAATAACATATTTGCATGTCAGATTTTTGATAAATACAATGAGTACATATGTCTTGAAAATAATTTTCCCCTCAATGATTTTTATTTATTCAATGGCAATCATGTACTATATTTCATTTTTGCCTGAGCAAACTGTGCGAATCAATAGCTTTCTTGCTATGTTATGGGAAAGACATAGGAGGGGCAGACCACTTTAGTTCAGCCATTCAGCTACCAAGAATCAGGATTACAAATATTAAGATTTAGTCATTATCCTCTGGTCACTCATTCAACAGGCCAACATTTATCTAATAACTGTCTTCTGCCATAGAATTACAAAACGTTGGCCCCGAGAATACGGTGATAAATGAGACTGCATCTGGGCCTTGGAGTCTAATGGGTGCCTCCATGGAGCAGCCTTCAAAATGCTTGGAAGATTGAAAGTGAAAGTCATTCTATCATGTTCAGCTAATATCCATGAGAAGAGAACATTCACTTTAGAAAGAAGTAAATTGTGAGTCAATGTTCCTGTAAAAGATCAATTAAATATTAATAAATTTCCATGATACATTAAAATCAAGTACAAGGAGGGATCAACATTTTCTGTTTTAAGTCATCTAAGGGTCAAGAATCTTCACATGGGGGGGCTCTATATTTTATCAATATGGAATCATCTGCCTTTACCTTCCACTCATAAAAGAAGTATGAGAATCAATCTGATATACAATGTTTGAAATCTCGACTCATTATTTCCTCTTCTATTTCCTTAATTGAGGTGTTTCTGAAATATCTGTCTTAACAGAGTAATTGCCTTTACCCTTCCCTTCTCTTTTCCTCTGTAGACATCCTGCACAATTGTCTGAGATAATGGTATACTTCATTGTATGTTTTATTCATTCAAAAATATGGAATAAGTATATCCTTTCAACAAGTAATAAAACTGTTCATGTTCCATTTGGCTGATGGATAGCCTCTCTCACTTTTGCTTTTGTGTATCTCAATAGAGTTACCCGTTCATAGTGTCATTTTAAGAATCAATAAATTCTGGATTGATTTTCAACTACTTTAACTTCTTGTGCACTGTTATATATATGATCTAATAAAAGTAAGGAAATGGGATAGTTGTCTATTCCTATGTAACAAACTACTCCATATTTTGGTGTCTTAAAACAACCATAACCACTATTTCACACAATTCTGTGTGTTGGTTGAAAAGTTCATCCCCTGGTTTTGCCTGGGCTCACTTGTATGGCTGCATTCTGCTGGAGGTAGTTGGGCTAGACAGTCCAAATGGCCTCAATTACATGCACACAGGAGCTGGTGCCATCTCTCAGCTCAGATACTATGATTTCCTCCTCTTGTCCTCTCCTTCTCAGGAAGGTTTGACTGAACTTCTTTCCAATATGGTAGCTTCAGGGTTCCAAGAAGAGGCTCCAAGGCTTCCTATGGTTGAGCCTCCAGAAATCACACAGCATTACATCTGGCACATTGTATTCAATCAAGGAAGAATTAGAACATCCCACAATACAAGAAGGTGGAGAAACCGACTCCACTCTCTGATGAGTGTAGCAGCAACATCACGTTGCAAAATGATGTGAACCTAGGACGTGTTATTCACTGGAGAACATTTTTTTTTTTGAGAGATTTTCACTGTAGGGCACGTGCGCACGCCAGACAGACAGAGACATAGAGACAGAAAGCGAGAAATCACTCCCCAGGGGGGATGGTCACGCCGCAATCCCTTCTCCTCCATTCTCCACTCGGGATCTTGGGCACGCACTCACACGCGCCCGGCGTGAGTTTTAAGCCACTGGGTCCGGGACACGAACCGCGGTCGATTACGTGGGAGTCCAGCGACATAGCCATTATGCTAACTGCTGGTTCCCCACTGGAGAACATTTTTAAAAATTTCTGTACAACATAGAATAGGAATATAATTTGGGGTTTGAAAATAACTTTTTTAAACATAAAAGGCTATAGATATGTGTGTTATGAATACACATTTAAGACATGTTTAACTAAAGATTTAATGTGCACATTTCAAACTAAAAAGTTTATTTGTTAATCACAAAAACTGCACGTATCAGTTAAAACATTGGTACTCAATTAATTGTCTTTTGGAGAAAGTCAGCATAAAATAATTAAGTCATGAAACCAAAAAAAGGATAGCTCCCTGAGAAGAGAACTATTTAATTTGTTCTTCATTTTATTTTGTGGTTTTATTTTTAAACCATCTTAATCTTAGCACAAAGACACATGACACATAGATTGAGTAGACATAATAAATATAGTAGGCCTTTTTTTTTTTTTTGGTGACACACAATTATGTATTGAAATGGTGTAATAAATATTTTTGTGACTTTTTTGTGAGATTATTTGTTGTTTTACTCTGGTTCATTTTTATGTTTATTGTGTGTTAACTTGTATCTGCACTTGAAGGTTAAACTCACTTGTTTTATAAATGAAGATACTAAAGCCCAGGGAACTTAAATCAATCATTCAGATTTAAATATTTCAAGCACAACAATAATTTGATCTAAATTCTTAATGTGTTTTCCTTATAGAGAAAGTACATACCCATAATTTCCATTTAAAATCTACTCCTATCATTTACCTCTTTGATATAATAAAGAGAAACCAATGATATCTTTTATAAGCAACGTATGTAAAGATTTTAACAAAGGGCATGCAAGTATCAATTTTTATTGTGATGATTACTTATTTTTTAAGAGAGATTATTGCTATAGGACATCTGGCTCCTGCCAGAGAGACTGAAAGCAGAAATAGACCTCTCAGGGGGATAGCCACACTGCAATCCCTTCTCCTCCATTCTTCTCTCAGGATTTTGGGCATGCACACACAGGTGCTCCATGTGAGTTTAAACCACTGGGTCTGTAACTTGAATAGCTGTCAACTATGTGGGAGTCCAGTGACATGACCATTACGTCATCTTCTGATCCCATGACTGTTAATTAAGCCACTATTTTTGTCAAAAGGTAGAATTCTCATTAAAAGATACCATCAATTAAAGAAGCATGCAGTGCAATTGTTTTATTATATTTCTCTTCTCTAAATCAAACTGTATCTATTGAAAATTTTTCATATTTATTCCATAATCCAACAGCAAAACGTATATGTGTACATGCATATATACATTCATCCCAGAAAGATAAATATAAAGACATGCATTGGACCTTATATTGGTGTGGCCACTGCAGAAAAAAAAAAGTCTAATAAATTAATTAAAATCTTAAAATTGCTTAATTGATTCTTAGAACAGATCTCATTTTAATTTTAATACAGTACCAAGTCAAATTTCTACAAGAATCATAGTCTTAAAGACTTTTGCACAGATAAACAAAAAGCAACTTAATTATTAAGAGTTTTGAGTGACTAAATCAGTGACTGAGTTTTCAGATATATACTAAACAGCATTATCATGTTGGAAATAACTTCAAATCTCATAGTAGATTTCAAACTTATTATTATATAATATCATTTTTCTAAAATCATTTCATTATATTTCCTTTGAATAATCTAAAAATGGGAATTTTTCATATTTTAGAGGATACTGGAACAGGTTTAAATGTATATTAATCTTTCATAAAGTGCTCTGTTAGATAGAGCTTGCCATTCCCTTGGCAGCTTCGGACAGCTCTGAATATTAAAATGCTCTGCATTTATAGGCCGAACTCTGTTTCCTAATCACTTCTATTCACTATTTTTCATCTAAGCGCTTCTTGGAAACCCACTATTTTCTCTGTCTCATCAAGCATTTCTTCCATTTTTGTGAGCAAACATTATTCTTGGTGCCGGTGGTTATTGTGGTTTTTGTAACCCCCTGTGATAGAACTTTATTAGGGTTCCCTGGACTTCTGGAAATACTGTTTGCTCTCGGCATCATACACTTAAGGTCTCACTGAGGTTTTATTTTATTTCCAACCCCTCAGTTGATGATCACACCCCAAGAGATATTACCACAGTTAGATAACCTTTCACTGCTCAAAATAAAAATCTTAAAGTAACTTCCTCTCAAGGAATAATATAATAAATATTCTCACGTATTAACTAATAATACCGCTAAAGGAGAATACTCCTGAAAGGAGAATGTTACTGTTATTTTACGTATATTTTTAAATAAGATAGTGAAGGTATACATTTTTGATAAACCATCTTGAATTAATTAAAAAGAAAAAAATTAAGCCTCTTTAAATATGTATAAAACATAATGAAAGAAATGCCCACGTAAGTATCCTTTTAGAGTATAAATACTGGAAATCCAGACAAAAATAGGTGACAGAATCCTTTTGTCATCCTTTTTCTTAAATTGCCCAATAAACTTTCTATTCCCATTGTAATAAATATATCAGATTTTCTTAAATAAAAGTAAGTAGTAAATAGAGAACTAAGAATCAGCACCTTAAGGCCAACCCCACAGTGCAGTGGTTAAGCACTGAGCTGAAGATGCCAGATCCCATGTGATCAACCATGGTTCAAGTCCTAGCCTTGGTAACTTGAAAAACATACTTAGGTGGGATCCACAGATGGTGTGTGTAATGATTATATGGCTGGGCTCCCACGTAGTCGAATGTGGTTTGAGTCCCAGACCTGGCAGCTTGAAACTCATGTCTGGGTCTTGTTCATGTGTACCCAAAATCTCAAAAGGAGAAGGGATTGTGGCATGGTCATCCCCCTGGGGGAGTGATTTATTGCTTTCTGTCTCTCTGTCTCTCTCTTTCTTTCTGGTGAGTGCACATGCCCCATAGCAAAAATCTCTCTAAAGAAAAAATATTGAAAAAGAAAAACACACTTTTTGGTATTTGTGTCATGCCCAGGATACTGGCAGGGTTGGAGGAAAAAGGATTGTGGCATGATCAGGCCTGCTGCAGTGTGCTTTCTCCCTCTCTCTCTTATACATGTGTATGAATCCTCTGGTGAAAAATGAATTAATACACATGTGCCTACATATATAAATCAGCATTTTGCCTAAACAAAATCTGTTTTTTTTTTCCCTAAGTTTCTTTCTTCCATGAATGAAAGAGAGGGAAAAAGAGGGACCAAGAATGAGTACCTCAAGCAAAAGCTTGATGCGGTTATCTACCTCCAGCCTCTACCAGTCCTATATCACAGGATGAGTGCCCACATGCTCAAGAAAGTCTCAGCACTAACCATCAACGTTCTCATTTAAGGTTGCCTCATGGAGCAGAGTGGAGCAGAGTGTCTTACTGCTGTACCACCGTCCAGCAGATGACATTTTTTAAAAGGTCACGTGTAATACGATACTGAAGGCAATCATTTCTGTAGTCTTAAGAAGGTGAGAGGTTGGTAAGTTTTAGTCCTGATCCAGCTAGTGCAATAAGGTCGGAAGCAATTCATTGGGTCACTATATCATCAAAACCTAGTATATATTAGGCTCTTCATACATATTACCTCCAAAACATAAAAGCCTCACAATACTTAGTTAGCTATTATTCAGACATTTAAAAGCTCTGAATCTCAGAGCTTAGCTGACAAGTCCACGTTTACATAGTTAACATTGTGTGAGCTTATTTGACTCAAAGCCTACATGCATTTAAAAGATGAGGGA